AAAAAAAGGGGCTTACCCTGTCATAGATATTTATATGTTTAAGAAACAATAGAGTCCGATTGCAGATAATTCGTTTTTTGCCAAGTCCTTTGTCTGGATGAGATCCAACTGAAAACAATCCAACTACAATTACATAATAGTCCATGCTTGCCCAGATAGCTACCTGGTAAATCCAAGACGTTTTTCAAGAAAGTGTACACTAAAGCTGTAAGTTCATTGTCCGTCTTGCTTAGAAGAGGTTTCATAACCTCGCATGCTTCTACCTGAAAATGTTTTTGATAACTCTTCCATTCAAAATTCAATTTTTGATATCTTACAAGGGAAGTGTCCGAAGTCGCAGTGGCCTTTTCACATGAGATAGAAACCGTCTAAAGCAGCTTAAAACAGTGATTCCAAAACAGTCTTCCTTAGTTGCAGAACGAGTCTGGGTCGGATATTATGGGCATTTTAATCACCGAATTTCACATCTTTCAAAGTACCCCCACAATCATAGAAATCGTTTCAAGGTTTGTTTAAGCACTGCATAACAATGAGGAAGCATCCAATTTCAAGCACAAAATACATGGGCCTTGATAATTTGGCTCTTTCCACATTGTAAATTTTGCGCAAATTAAATTTAATAACTTCTGACCCAGATTCGTTCTGCAGCTAAGAAAGACTGTTTTGGAATCAGCTTTTCAAGTGCGTCACATGATACCTAGGTCATGCTAAATAGCCACTGCGACCTCTGACACTTCCCTTGTTAGTAGCATTCTGTCTGCATTGTCAACATCACTTTCCCCACACATGTAAACACGTGCTAGATACAAACCAACAAAAAGGTCAGTATGAGCGACTTACAATGTTCTTCGAGGCAAAAAGAATAAACGCAGACACGAAAATAGAAAGAGGCTCGTCGTCTTGCGAGACACTATCCCTCAAGGCACATAGCTCATCTATGAATGCATTGTCATCAGCGAGATCGTCCTCAAAACCTCTGCAAAAAAAGGAGTCTTGGTTTAACGAAATAACATGATTTACAAAAAAAACCTGAGATAAATTGAGAGATGAATGCAGATGACATTAACAAAAGTATCACCACAATTTTGTACGAAAAAACGTGTCAAGTGGAATCACCTTGGTAAAAGACGAACACATGAGATAGCTCCATCGAATGTCATCACATAGCAGAAACGCTCATCACAAGCTGGAGCATTGTTAGTAGATAGTCAGAATACGATCGGGTTTGACTTACCATGACCTACTAATTTGGTACCCGCAGGAATAGGCACAACCTTGTTCAATAAAGTTGGATTGCGTCCCTTCAAGTCATCCGGCAAGAATACGGATTGCACTAAAAGTTCTTTTGATATTCACGGAAGAGATAACAGGAGAGAACTAGGGCAAATTTACCAAAATTGGGATAGACGATGACAATTCCATCCGTTCGTTCACAAGTAGACGAATTTGACGTCTGATCAGGAATACAAAGAAAAACGTGACCAACGAAAGATGTTTCTTTGGTCGACTTGAAGAATCGAGTTATAGAAAGTATTATAATGAGTACCACCGAACGCACCTCAAAGTTTTGTCGGTAGACCAGATCGATGGGAATGGCTGAAAACCATTTCACTTTCGAATCTTCGCCTTTGTAGTGAATCATTGCTGTAGATAAAGTTTCTCAGCACCCTACTGGTACCAATTCATAGTGCTAAGGTACCTAAGAAAAATGTCACATCGGTAGTGTTATCGTGGCTTCCAGCGAGCAGTAAAAGAATTCCAGCACGAAATTTGGCCGCATCGAGAAACCAGATGTTCACTCCAGCGACGGACTGTCCTCGTGGAGTGTTCTACAGATGTTTCAA